GCTCTTTAAAAATACAAAGAAATTCTATTAAGTCACTTTGGGACCAAAAAGTGCATAATGCAAAGAAAATTTCTAATAGATTATGCATTTCTTTACGCATATGTAAATGATATGTCAGTTTACTAAATAAAACTGGCAAAATTTCTATTGGTCACTTTTCTGGCCATCCAAGAAAATTGGCTTCAAATTAACGCTGCCATATTGGAAAAATTCTGCAACATAATTATTTTACTACAGCAGGCGAAATTAAGGTAAAATTGGAAGAAAAAGATCCCAACCTTGATGTCAGTGAACGTATAATACGTCGTGAGCTTAACAATCTTGGATATATTTCTATTCTTCCAAGAAAGGTTCCTCTTTTGACCCAAAAAGTGAAGGAATTTCGTTTATTTTAAACACGTAATCATTCGCGATACAACTGGAAAAAGTTATTTTTTCTGATGAAATAACACTTCAAATGTTTAGAAATACTATGTGTGCATGATCTCATAATGCAAAACTAATTGCCCTTATGGTGAAGCATCCATTCAAGGTTTATGTTTGGGCCGCGATTAATACTAAAGGAAAAATCAGCATTCATTTGTTTACTGAAAATTTGGATCATCATTTGTATCGAAAAATCTTAAATGACCATCTGTATAACAATGCGGATATGTTATACAAATGCGGTTGGGTCTTCCAACAAGATAATAACCCAAAATACATCTCACATAATGTTCAAGAGGACTTGAAAAAACATCTTTCAGGACGAGTTCTTTCTTGACCTTCATACAGCCCAGACTTGAACCCTATTGAAAATATATGGGCTGTATTAAAGGGAAAGATGGAGAAAAAGATCAAGTATTTGGTAGCAAAAAAAAAAACATTACCTGTGATCAGTGTTGGGCATTGGATTGGACCAGTCCAGTGGAACTCTATTGGACTAGACAGTCCATTCTAGTAGACAAGGATTATTGGACATGGACAGCTACTCCAATTGAAATGATCGATGATCAGCAATTTATACTGTATATTATATAATAAATTTTTTTTTTTGATATTTTTTTTATCAACTTTGATCATTCCCTAGATGGGAAAAGCTTCCCTTGAATTTTTTTCTCTAGGAATATATAAACCCTCTATTTTTTATACGTTAAAAAATCGTGCAGCCTTTTGCCTATCTCATTAATTGTAAATAACATTTAAAAAATTTTTACGGCATTCTATATTGTAGTACTGTGTAATATATTTCTCTTTTTTTTTTCCTTCACTTTTTAAACCATTGGTCTTTAGATTGCTCAATTTAATATTTTCATCCATTTGTCTTGCATTATTTTTTATCAACTTTCGTCAAGAATTTTTAAAATGGGAAAGCATAGGTTAACGGTTTATATAGAAGTATTAAATGAAATGGTAAATACTTGTAACAAGTATACTATATGTAGAGCATGTAAGACAAGAGTATCCCGTGAATATGCCTATGCAAATAAAATAGTAAATACAAAAAGATGTGTTAAACGACATCTTCAAAAATGTGAGAATTTTTTTGCAATTCAAGGTAAAGAAAAAGGTGATGAAATACTAAATAATACAGATAGTGAGACTACTAAAGAACGTCAGAAAGCAAGTTTGAAAAATAAAAAAAGACCTCGTAAGTTATTTTTAAATTTGAAATATATACATATATTTAATTTTAAAATATTTATAAATATGATTATTTTATTTAAAGGATTATCCGAAAATGTAACTGAACCTCAAGATTTAAATGATAATGAAATAGATGAAGAAAATGACAGTTTTTTTGATGATAGTATGTCCATCATTACTGTAGACTCTACAAATTCTAATATTCAACGCGGTCCGATAGATAAATTTACAATTTGAAAACCATCTAAATCATAAGAACGAAAATGGTGATATGTGGTCTTAAAAGCAACAATTTCTAATGGGTGGAGTTTCCGTTGGATAGAAAATAAAGATTCTCAAGAAATGTTTACATTTCTTAATCCAAATTTAAAACTTCCAACACGAAAACGATTAAGTGGTAAAATTCTAACTAATTCCAGCTTTGATATTACTCAAACAATTGAAAAAAAAGCAAAAATGGATGAGATTGGGGTGTCATTAACCTTAGATGAATGGACGAATGTAGTAAACCAAAATTTATTAGGTAGTGTTTTAATAACATCTGATGGTGATGTACTTGTTTGGAAAGCTGAAGATATAAGTGCAGA